GGATTTTATGACCCACCAAGAAGATTGCTGGGACAGCGACCAGGACCATATGATAGACCAATAGGAGGAAGAGGGGGTTATTATGGAGCTGGGCGTGGAAGTATGTATGACAGAATGCGACGAGGAGGTGATGGATATGATGGTGGTATGTGTATCTAATGAACAAAGGTTCTGTTGTCATTTTCTTAATATTCCTGACACTTTGTCAAGAAATATAGAAATGGCAGTAATTTCAGTACCTACTAGGTTTTAAAACCTGTTCATGAAAATACGGATTCCCATGGCCAGCTGTGGGACATTGATTGATGCACATATTGGCACCTTGATAACTTCGTCAGATATAAAAATTTTAAAACATTGAAATATTTTGACATTTTCTGTTTGGCATCAGGATGAAGTTTAATTTGTATGTCTGAATTTATCCTTTTGAGGTTTTTAATTTCTAGCACATGCCAACTGTTTTTCTCATGTGTACTGAGTTGAGAGTTGCACATTTATAATGACCTAAGGGTAAATTTTAAAACATACAAAGTATGTTTTTGTAAACTAAATTATAAAATTTATCTCCTGAAAGTGTATTCATGTATTTCTCCTTAAATTGCACAGGTTATGGAGGTTTTGATGACTATGGTGGCTATAATAATTATGGCTATGGAAATGATGGCTTTGATGAAAGAATGAGAGATGGAAGAGGTAAAATAAATATTAAAGACATTTTCATTTTGGGGTAAATTTTAATATTTGCAACCACTAAATGGTAATACAGGTGACTTTTTTTTTTTTTTTTTTTTTTTAAGTCATTTCAGGCGTATTTCACTTCATTCCTGTGTAGGGCTTTATACCTTCTATAGTACTTAATGTATACTTACAGGCAGATTCTCCATTAGATGTTTAGAATAACTGTAAGTGATAAGATTTCTTGGAATTGTCAAAAAGGTAGGTGTATGTAGGGGAGAAATGTTGTATTTTATTGAACTGCTTTCTTTTCTACATGTCTCGACATTTTATAATCTTTGGAAATTTTATTCTCCAGGTATGGGAGGACATGGTTATGGTGGGGCTGGTGATGCAAGTTCAGGTTTTCATGGTGGTCATTTTGTACACATGAGAGGGTTACCTTTTCGTGCAACTGAAAACGACATTGCTAATGTAAGTAATTTTAGTAATTTTTACTGGTTTTATACTTTTGTGTCTAAATTTTGAAGCATTCTTAATGGCCTTATCCTCCTTCCTCTGTAGTTTAATGTTAAAAAACTCCAAATGTAAAAATATATCCACCTTATTTTCAGTAGTTGATGAATATTTTTGTGTCCATTTTGTGCCAGCCTACATAGGATTCAAGCAAGTGAAAGCTAAGTTCATGAAGTTCACTTAAGAATATAGTGAAAGAATGATCAGCACAGGGTGGTGATGATTGAAAGAGTATTTCCTTTGTTGTGTCAGGTTTTGAAAGTGTGAATATGTAGTAAGTCAATAGTGTTATTGCTTTGGTTTGGCTTTTTAGGCTAGATAGTGTTTAGAAATCGGTTAGAAATTTGAGGAGCTGAAAATAATGGGAGTAGATACTGCAGCTGTCTTTGACTTGAAACTGATTGGTTTCAAATTGATTAGGAGAGTAACATACTTGAGCCTGTGGACCAAATACATTCATGCTCATTTGTTTACCTACTGAGCAGTTGTAGCAGAGACCCATTGACCCACAAAGCCAGAAATATTTACTGTCTGGCTCTTGGAGAAAAAAAATTTGCTCTTGATTGTATTGAGAACCAGATGGCCTAATTTCCAGGTGCCTTTTAAGGATAGTGTAAACCTAATTAACTTGAGATTGGAACTAAATGATGTTTTGGGCACTACTCAAATGCAGTTAGTAGGTTTAATATCAAACCCCATTAATTAAAATCATGGTACACCCTGTGTCTCTGCACATGTTTCCTATGTCTCAGGTGACCTATATATTTCAAATAGCAATTTTTAAATACATACCTTGGTCATGGGTTGGGTGGGGGCTTTGCTGTCAACAGTAGGCTATCACATTTTTTCATCTGTTTAAGGTAAACTTTCTCAAGGCTAGATACTGTCTTTTTAAACTTAATACCTAACTTATTTTGAAAGGGGTAATTTTCCCTAAGTGTCATCATATATTCCCAGAACCTCTGTAGTTCATGCAGTTAGGCTAGCACCACAGGGCAGTGGGAGGGTTTTGTCAAAACCAAGGTATGTGGTAATTGACTTTTCAGTAATCTGAATAAAAAAGTAAATAACAGATGTTTTGTTTTATTTAGTTCTTCTCACCACTAAACCCAATACGAGTTCATATTGATATTGGAGCTGATGGCAGAGCAACAGGAGAAGCAGATGTAGAGTTTGTGACACATGAAGATGCAGTAGCTGCCATGTCTAAAGACAAAAATAACATGCGTAAGTGGTATACTTGGCATGTTTTCTTACTTGATTCCTGAATGTGAACTTGCTTAGAAAATAAGCATTTAATTTGTTTAAATAAAGAGGTCCTAGGATATGTAGGTAACTCTTCACAGTCATTGGGACCTAAAACCATATAGCCTCTAATTAGACTTCAATGGCTTAGATTAATTTCCTATAGTAAGAATAGTTATCAATAAAGCTAACATAAATTTTGAAAAGAATTGATTCAGAGTCTTAATACTTGACAGAGTATTGGAGCTCAGGTTAGCTAAAAGGGAGAAAGAGGTGTGTTAATTTATACTTCCATAAGTTTCCATGTCCTTAATTATGCACATTAATACCATTTAAGCTACATTGATGAGCTTGGCTAAATGATTGCTGCATGTCATCAAATCTGTTTTTGTACCAGTGAATTTTACCTGATTGCCAAATCTGGCCACCTGTCAATCACTTGGTACTTGTTTAAAGGAAGTTTTTTAGGATACAGCCTCAAGATTCTAGTTCAGTTCTATGATTGGGCCTGGGATGTATTTTTAAGAAGTACCCCCTAGGTGATTCTGAATTATTTTATAGATGAGGAAACTGAGGCCCCAAACTTTGTTGCTTGTTCAAGGTTGTACAGTTTCAGCGAGACGTAGATTTTAGCCCTATTATCTCTCCACTAGAAATTGGCAGGTATTCTTTTAGTTTAATATTAGCTAATCAGCATTTGTACACTTTTCTTGATAAATCTGATCCATCATTCTTCTCTCCCCTACTACTTTTTTTTTTTTTTTTTTAAAAGAACATCGATACATTGAACTCTTCTTGAATTCTACTCCTGGAGGCGGCTCTGGAATGGGAGGTTCTGGAATGGGAGGCTACGGCAGAGATGGAATGGGTATGTAAAGTTTCTTAAATAAGCAAAGTTACATACTTAGCAATCAGGCTCAAAACTTTTTTTTTTCCTTTTAGATAATCAGGGAGGTTATGGATCTGTTGGAAGAATGGGAATGGGGAACAATTACAGTGGAGGATATGGTACCCCTGATGGATTGGGTGGTTATGGTAAGTATCTGGTTACTCTTGACGTTCAGCATGTGTTAGTCCCCACATGTAGTGCAGACAATTATAAGGTTATACACTACTTATTAATATCTTACACCCTGTTGTCTCCTACTAAACGAATCTTAATGTGTTTTCTTTTTTAAGGCCGTGGCGGTGGTGGCGGCGGCAGTGGAGGGTACTATGGGCAAGGCGGTATGAGTGGAGGTGGATGGCGTGGGATGTACTGAATCATAACCGCCAACACGCGAGTCCTGACAACAGCATCTGGTCTACTAGACTTTCTTACAGATTTAATTCCTTTTGTATTTTAAGAACTTTATAATGACTGAAGGAATGTGTTTTCAAAATATTATTTGGTAAAGCAACAGATTGTGATGGAAAAATCCTGTTTTCTGTAGGTTTTATTTGTTGCATACTTTGACTTAAAAATAAATTTTTATATTCAAACCACTGATGTTGATACTTTTTATATACTAGTTATTCCTAAGGATGTGCTGCCTTCATAAGATTTGGGTTGATGTATTTTAGTATTAGCTCTACAAGTAGTAGTATAGTGTAATTTTAGAGGACAGTGGTTCACCTCTGCATAAAATATAAGTCTTAATAAGCAGGCATCAGGAATAGAGCTTGAATAGTGTAACTTTTTAATTTCTGCTGGATAATACTGTAAATATAAAGCCTAAAGATGAATTTAGGTGGTTTCAGGAGTATAAATCCAGCTAATTCTTTGTTAGTCATTCTTTTTAAAATGTCATTTATCAGCACTGAAATGTTGATGATCTAAGAGGTATCAGGTCTTCTGAATATTCGTAATTGTGGGGCATGAGAGTGTTGGAAATTTAAATTCTAGCCCTAGAGATTTTAGAATATATTCCCCTCAGCACTTGACTGAAGTACCAAAAAATGTTTCTAAAAAGTGATACGGTTGTAAATTCTCTCAAGATGTCTTAGAGTAGGTTAAGGTTCCTGGTGACGCGGGAATTCAGCATAAATACGTAGGTATTTACTGTGGAGTGTAATTGTCAATAAATGTATTTTTAGTTTCCTGCCCAATAGTTAAAAGCATATGATTTTAAAATGTATAAATGAATACTTTAAAAAAAATGTAAGAGACATAAGTCTGTCATAGTCTTAATTAAAATAAGTCATGCAGTTGGGTTTTGCATCTAACATCTGCTTGGAGTTTTAGAGCCTTTGTGTTAAAAAATATGTAGCAAGGAAAGGTGCTTTTTACTTTTGTCCCTTTGATCAATACGGCTTTTTTCCAAATTGGCTAATGGATCAAAATGAAACCTGTCAATGTGAATTTAGTTATTGAACTTGTTACTTGTTTTTGCTAGAAATGTTATTAACGTAATAAATATCAATGTGGGAGATAATAGTATGGCATCTGTCCTAGAATACTTTGTGTCGGTTACTGATTATAAAATTGGTAGAGGGTACGCTATGTGTTTAATTGAAGATTTAGATAGTGACTCATAAGGAGCAATTACTGCTGTTAAAGAAGGTAATGTGACTGATTGATAGCCTATATACTGGGAGCCTCTTACACTAATTATGCTTGAGCAAAGATCACCATGCTTTTATTTTCCCATGATTCCCCACTTAAAATCTTTAAGCAGTAAAAATATAAAGTGTTATAAATTAAAGTTGTCCTCCAATCCTAAAGCAGGCAAATTTTTCAAATCTTTATTTGGTTTTAAAAAATTTCACATTTCCATTAAAAACATTGCAGGGTAGAAGAATTACAATTGGAATTCCTTGGCACCATGATAGTGTTGTTACTGTGGTAAAATTGGCTAGGTGAGGGAATAGTATGCGAAGTCTATTAAGTTAACTAACTTTCTGTGAGAGCAAATCTTAAAAGGAAAAGTAGTGTAAGTTCACAATCACAAAATACAAATTGCAAATGTTAGAAAAATGCAGAATTATGATTTTTAAATATGAGCCAAAACTAAACGCAGCAAGTTGTACTACTGTCATAGAAAAGCCCAAGTCAACGGTGACAATTTTTAAGTGGCAAAGAATTTAAAGGGTAACTACAAATTACGGTTTATATTTGCTAAGCACAGTAATAAAAAACATGTTAGTATTTTAAATTTTTCATTTATGCTTACTCTCACAAACCATAAAAATCTGGATCTAGCAGTACAAAAACAGTTCAAGAATATAATTCATATCTTGACATTTCTATCAGTAGTCAAGAAAAGTCCACCTAAAAATCTATTTCAATTCTAACTGAAGTTGGCCTCAAAAGCTGACTGAAAATTTATGGATTATGGAGAAAATAAGTAAAAAACTGGTTTCAAACTTTTGGCAATTTAGGAAACTTTATATTAAACCTTAATGAAAGTATGTACTCTCAGGAAATGATCTGCAGAATAAAAGTGATTTCCATTGGGGCAGGGAGAAGGGGTTATGTGTCCATGATTGACCACTAAATGGAATGCTCCTAGGAGTAATATGTAAGATTCCTAATATGACATTTTTGAAAGGCTCACAAAGTGCACAGCTGAAAATAATATAAAAAGGTAAGATCCCTAGTGGTACTGTCGTCATACAGGAGTAATAATTTTTACAGATTACGTTCTAGGTACGCTGTAAGCAGTATATAACCAAATTAGTGTTTATTGAATTTTTTATGCTTGAAATAGTTCAAGTACTGGTATATGCTTCATGGCAGGGCAGACATCTTCATCTGCTCAAGTCCCTGGCATAGAGGCGGTCTGTATACATGTTGAATTCTTACTGTAGACACAGACTGCAGGGATAGACTACTATAAATGCTTCCTGAAGATTACTGGAATGGAAATTAAATACAAATTTTTTTTTAACTAAAGCCTGTACCATATTAAAGGCAAAGTTTAACTACACTTTAGATTTCTCACTCTAATGCTCGGAGCTCTGGTGGCACAGTGCTTAAGAGCTACAGCTGTTAACCAAAAGGTTGGCAGCTGGAATCCACCAGCCACTCCTTGGAAACTCTACAAGGCAATTCTCTTATAGGGTTGCTAGGAGTTGGAATCGATGGCAATGGTTTTCTGTTTTTTAATGCTTAAGAGACTTTATCAGGAGCCTACAATTCCACTATTACACACGTTTCTGGGGAAGGGTTTATGCTTTTATTTTTCTCAAATGGGGTCTGAGACCACCCCCCCAAAAAAAAACCTAGCAATTTAGTGACAGGTAGTATACAGAAAGGTCTGCCAAGTAACAAGGTTACTTGGTGATGGTTATGTGTGACTTTCTTTGAAGATGAGAAGGAAAAAATTGAGGCCAAATGTCAATGCCCACTGTATCTGAAAGTATCAGCAAGCACAACAGTAATTTCAAAAGGAGAAAGACCAAAAGGATGTTTTCTAATGCAAAAGGAATAAAGGAGGGGAAGGGACAGGGGCCAATAAATATTTAAGCTGAAATCTTAAACTAAGCTGATGAAAATACTGTTGAATTGGAATATTAATACTTCTAGAAAGATATATACATTTCCAATCTTTCTTTGAGAACCATGAAGCTTTAAAGTGCATTGAGAATTACAGGCACCAAATTACTATCAACTTGACAGTCTGGAAGAATAAAGCAATCTGAAGCCTTAATTTTAAGTAGGCCTTTACGAGATAAGGCAATTGTGTGTTAGCTATGCTAGCTGGCCTTTTACTGGATTTAAGGGTTACATGATTATTACATCAATTAGGAATTAGACTAAAGTTATTTTAAAGCATACCCTATTGAAAAATCATTTTGAAGAATAATGAAGGAAATACCAAATGTTTTAAACAACTTCTAATTCCCATGAGTTGGCATATGTGGAAGATAAACTGGTACCAATACTGACCGAAAGCTGCTTAAGAAAAGGGCTGTCTGGATACTTTGTAAACATGTCCATACATAACAATCGTGCATACTTCCTTCTATACATAAGGATTTAGTTCTGTAGTCTATGGCAAGTTAGATGAGCATCTCTGAATCAGCAAGGCATGACAGGAATCACAGACCCGGACCGGCTTTGGTGAAGACGGCAAAGGCAGTTCGTTGTCAGAGCAGGCATTACAGAAAATTTCCCCACAGTTTCTACAGTGGTGCTTAATAAAATGAAAAAATCAGAGAAAAAACTTCATGAATAAAATTAAAAGCAATTTTGCACCAAAACTCTTGGACTCATTCCTAGCTTCCTTACCTTTCTCTTGGAGAGTGAGAATTCCTTTTCACAAAGTTTGCAATGTGTTGCTTCTTTGTCTTTTAACCAAACCAGTCCCTAGTAGAAGGAAAGTGGGAACATTAATGCCCAAATTGGTAATACTAAAAATTACATGTGAAAACTTTTTTTTGCTCATGAACATTTGTAGAATATAAATACTAGAAATCAAAGAAGAGAATCTTTTCCTTTGAAAGATAACCTGAAACATATGCAGATGACACGTGCAGGATTTGCTTCCCAATAATCTGAGGAGGGATGTGGGTTGAATATAAATAATTAGCCATATATCTATTGTTGAAATTGAGTAATGTGTAGATCAGGTTCATTTTACTATTCTCTGTATAACTGTATATGTTTGAATAATCAATCAAATGTTTTTAAAAGACAAAAATAACCTATTACGGATGGTAATGTTCTTTAGGAAAGAACCTTAAAAGTCATCTAGCCCAACAATATTAAAGATAAATTTATACTCCTGCACGAGTTTGTGGAGCTACATATACACAAATATACACAGTAATTTTAATACAGGCATACCTAGGGGTTTTTTTATTTTTATTTTTTAATTGTACTTTAGATGAAGGTTTACAGAACAAATAGTTTCTCATTAAACAATCAGTACACATTGTTTTATGACATCGGTTAACAACCGCACAACATGTCTCAACACTCCCTTCTCGATCTTGGAGGATCT